TTTTCTCTATCCATTTTTCAGTTGAGGGGCATCTAGGCTGCTTCCCGTTTCTGGCTATTACAAATAATGCTGCTATGAACAGAGTTGAACAGATGTCCTTGTTGTATGCATGTGCATCTTTTGGGTATATCCCTAAGAGTGGGATTGCTGGATCTTGTGGTAGACTGATTCCCATTTTCCTGAGGAGTTGCCGTACTGATTTCCAAAGTGGCTGTGCAAGTTGGCACTTCCACCAGCAGTGAAGGAGTGTTCCCTTTTCTCCGCATCCTCTCCAGCATAAGCTATCCTTGGTGGTTTTGATTTTAGGCATTCTGACAGGTGTATGATGGTATCTCAGAGTTGTTTTGATTTGCGTTTCTCTGATGGCTAAAGATATTGAGCACTTTGTGTGTCTTTCAACCATTTTATATTACTCTATTGAAAATTCTCTATTTAGTTCTGTTCTCCACTTTCCTTTTTGGTTTTTCGAGACAGGGTTTCTCTCTGTAGCTTTGGAGCCTATCCTGGCACTTGCTCTGGAGACCAGGCTGGCCTTGAACTCACAGAGATCTGCCTGCCTCTGTCTCCCGAGTGCTGGAACTAAAGGTGTGTGCCACCAACGCCTGGCCTGTACTCTACTTTTTAATTGGATTATTGATTGGTGTTTCGGAAACTAGTTTGAGTTGTTTGTAAATTTTGGAGATCAGGCCTCTGTCTGATGTGGGGTTGGTGAATATCTTTTCCCAGTCTGTGGGCTGCCGTTTTGTCTTGTTGACTGTGTCCTTTGCCTTAAAGAAGCTTCTCAGTTTCAGGAGGTCCCATTTTATTAATTGTGGTTCTCAGTGTCTGTGCTACTAGTATTATGTTCAGGAAGTGGTCTCCTGTACCAACTCTATTTCACTTTTCTTTACAGCTGAAGAAATTTCATTATCTAATCCTCAGTTAATGGAAATATGATCTGATTCCATTTCCTAGCTGTTGTGAACAGTGACATAGTATGCATAGATATGCAAATATCTTGTGACAGAATATAGAGTTCTCTGGGTAAATGCCCAGAATGGTATAGCTTAGTTATGACATTTGTGTTTTTAGTTGTGACTATTCTCCACTATGATTTCTACAGTGTTCCACCAGTTTACATACTTCCCAGATGTTTATAAGTTGATAAGGAGCCCTCTCTTCTCCCCTCACATCCTTACCAACATTTGTTCGCACACATTTGCTTAATGATAGCCATTCTGAGTGGGATGAAATTGCACCTCAAAGTAGATTTAATTCTCCTATGTCTAAGGATGTTTAACCATTCTTAAAATTTTTATTTGCCATTTGAATTTCTTCTTTTGGGAAAACTCTATTCATCTTATTGATAGGAAGTTTTGGATTTGGGTGATAAACTTTTACAGTTCTTTATGTATTCTGGAAATTGATCTCCTGTATGAACTATACAAGACAAACTATACAAGACAGATTTTTCTCCTATTATACAGGCTGTCTCTTTATTGGTAATTTATTTTGTTATGCAGAATATCTTTAATCTCATGTATTGTCATTAGTCAATCATTTTGGTTATTTCCTGTGGTACTGGAGTTCTTTGTAGAAAGTTCTTTCTCTCTTACAGCTCATTTCCTGCCTGTAGAATCCCAGAAGTCTGAACTCTTTTCTTCATTTCATCCTGTTTGTATTTCCTCTGGTATTCTAGACTAGCAAACATTTTTGGATCTCTGAAACATAAGCCTAATCTTTTAAAAGTTAATTTTTAATTTTATTACATATATTATGTATTGTGTGTGCACATGTGGTCATACATATGCCATGGTATACACATGGAGGTCAGAAAAGAACTTCCAAGAGTTGTATGTTCCCTTCCACCATATGGGTCTTAGGGATCAAACTCAAGTCAGCAGTATTGGTGGCAGTCTATCTGCTAAGCCATCTCTTCAGCCACATATTAAATTTTTTTGTTTTTCGAGACAGGGTTTCTCTGGGCTTTGGAGCCTGTCCTGAAACTATCTCTTGTAGATCAGGAACTCACAGAGATCCGCCTGCCTCTGCTTCTCAAGTGCTGGGATTAAAGGTGTGCACCACCACTGCCCGGCCACATATTAATTTTAATTAGTGTACAAAATAATGGACTTCATTATGATATCTTTTTATTTTTTTTCATTTAAATTATTTACCTACCACAGTTTCCCTTCCCTCCTCTCCTCCTGCTTCCTCCCACTGCCTCCTATCTACCAGTGATGGGAGGAACTTGGTCCTGCCTCAACTTGATGTGCCGTGCTTTGTTGACTCCAGTGGGAGGCCTGCCCCTTTTGGAACAGAGATGGAGGAAGAGTGGATGGGGGGGTAAATAGGGGGTGTCTTTCATCACTTCTGTCTCATTTTGTCCCTCCTCATTGTCCAGTTCTTCCCATGGAATCCAAGTTTGTGTATCCCTAGAGAGGCTATTTACCACAGATATAATTTGTGCTCTTTTCTTCATTCCCTGTTAATAAATGTCAAGCCAGTTCCTCTATCCTATTCAACTCCCTCCTTTATCCTTCTATCTTTTATTTTTCCTGATAATTCAGTGGCTATTACAGAAAATAGCATCCACATGTTTTGTTTTGTTTTTTCTTGTTGAATTATCTCCATTTCATAGGCAGTCATTCTAGGCAGAAAACTCAAACTCATTTACTTGTCTTATCGCCCAGAGCAAAGGCCACACAACCGCCACCACAACTTTTTTAAGATCCTGTCCCAAACATGTTACTTTTGTGGATCATAATATATCCTTCATTAACCATTTGAGGGACATCTCCATACTTACATGATAGGTGCCATCCTTCAAGGGGTCTTGCATTCCATACCACATACAGGAAAGCAGTCAATCTGGAATTCTCAAGGGGCACCCTACTGTCAAATACAGCAGCATTAGTTGAATGTTATTTCACCCATATGAGGGATAATGCAAGGGTAATTAAAGGAGGAAGGCACACCATTCCATACTACGCTAGGAAGGACAACAATACCAGGATTCTCCACACAAACACTCCACCCTCAGATGGCTTAGCTTCAGTTGTATGTCCTATAGCCCACAACAGAGGCAATGGTACTTCTCATTTTTAATTCTTTTGTGTCCTGGATTAATGTGCCAAGTGTTGGGTGAACTTTTCTGGTAATATAAACATCCATCCTAAATTAATGATTCTTTCCAGGCCTAGTTCGTTGAATCAATGAGTTTAATTAGGATTATTTACAGGATCATAGGTAAGGGGTCATTTACTGTAACATGGGAAACTCATAATCAGCTACACCACTGAACCTCCCCTTTCCTAGCAACTGTTAACTGCTTATAGAATTTGGGAGAGGGGTAGGACCCCTTCAGACACATCCCTCCATGAAGGAACATCAATGAGCCCAATCTTGTGTTGTCTTCAGTAATTCCAGCTGCTGATCACAGGGCAATAGCCATGTGGTGCACAGAGGATAGCATCTAGCAACACTGTTTTATTCTGTTTGTTCTGGTACTATTTTAGCATAGAAAAGAAGAAGTTATCCCTAACTAAAATTCAGGGGAAGATTCTATAGGAAATAATAACTGAGTTAAAATTCGAAGGGCAAACATTGAGTTAATGAAACAGAAGAAAAGAGGCATAGAATTGTTCCTTGCTGAAGAAAATAAATGCAGTTCTGAAGTACTATGGAAGTAACAAACTAGAAAGAGAAGTTGTAGAATTGGAAAGGTTGTTTTACAGAACTGTTGAAAACATGAAAACTCACTTTGAAATTCCCATGATAAGGGAACAAAAGTGTGGCCATCTTTAGTTGATATATAATGAAATTAAATGTTCTCTTTTATCATAAAATGTAACTCCATTGCTCTGTTTTGAACTATATTATTATGGAAGTTTAGTAATTATTTGTATATTTAATGTATTACTTTAAGAAATGTATTGAATTAAAATAAATTTTGAATAGACTCAATTAGGTTTTTCTCACATCGAAGTCTATTTTTTTTTACAATTGGTGGTTATCTCATGTTTTTATCATTTGCAGGATTGCTATACCTCAGCCACATTCTCCTGCATCAAGTAAAGGAAGCAAACACCGTTCACCAAGTCCCTTCCACCGTATGTTGCTGTTTTAATTATTATTCCTTACAAAAGTTTGTGTAACTCTGATGCATGCAAATGAATATTTTATTTTATTCTTCAGTATTGTGTTATAGCTCCTACTAGCAAAAGATAGAGTGTTTCATATTAGTGTAAGTCATCATGAAAAATACTGTTTGGTTATATCTGAAAACTGCATGCAACTATAATAATGACTGCCAGACCCTAGGAGTAGGAATACAAGCATGGAGATAAAATGCTTATAAGGTATCATTGTACATTTAACAGGAATTACCTCTAGTGTTCTGTAACTCATTAAAGTAACTATAATTGACAGTAGCTATGTATTTACAAACGGATTCAAACACAAATGCTAAGTTTATGAGGTGATAGATCTTCCAGTTACCCTGATCTCATCATTATACATTGTATAGGTATATTTAAGCGTTGCACTGCACCCCAGAAATGTGTTTAATTGTATGTTTAATCCATTTTTCTTAAAATTTATCTTATCTGGAAACTACCAAGTATTAAAATGGTAAGATATGCTTTAAAGGGAGATCCACACAGAAATGATATTGGCTAGAAGGAATAGATTAACCCCAGACACAGAGCAGAAAACACTGGCAAGCAGAGAGGAAGGTTAAGGTTGATACTTTCACAAAGAAGGACAAGTGTGTGTGCAAGGGAAGTGGTTACAATCTCATCAGAGTCAGACCATGGCTATGTGATAAGTGTGTGTTCCCAATCCTGTCTGCTGCAAACAGTGAACTGCCTTTTCAACTAAAAAAAGTATTTATATCTATATACCTAGTATGTTTTAAACTCATCTTATGAGTGATGTTCCAAGAAACAGCAACTCCTGAAAGAAAAAGATATGTTCAAAGAGCCAGTTTTGCCAAATGTCACATCATTTGATCACTACCCAAAAGTATTTGCTGAATATCTGATATATACTAAAGTTCTAGAAAAGCCCACAAAGTACCTTTCTTGTTAACAAAATAAACCCTCCTATTTAGCACATTTAGCAGCATATACCCTTCCGTCCATTTGGAGGTGCTCTTGTATACACTCTTAAAATATAATCAGTGTCACTACAAAACGAAAGCAATTTTTTTCTACCTTAAAAGTGACTTTCATCAGCATTTTTGTCTTAATGTTCCCTTTTAATTTTTTTCCTGCTACCCAATAGCACTAGTAGGTAAAGATCATTTGTATCAATAAAAGGACAAATGATGATCTTTAAGAGTATAAGTACCAGAAAAATATAAGTTTATTACTTTGGTAGCAGCAAATATGAGGTATTTTAGTTAACATGAGAGTGGTTAAGCAGGTTTAATTTAAATTGACAGTCAGAATAAGGAAAGCAAGTCTTTGGTGTTTTTGTTTGTTTGCTTGTTTTTTTCTGCTTTGTTTTAATTTTAACATGGAGGATGCTTTCAAGGGAGAAGAGATCAAATGCAATGTTCTAAGCAAATCTTGTTTTCTTTCTTTGCTATTAGGTCAAATGATTTGAACTTAGGGTTGGTTTCTGAAGTGATTTCATAATACAATTTAGTACTGGTAGAATGTCATTAGAATTATTTGCTTTAAGTGGAATCTGAAACTAAGGACTAATCTCTATGGCTTTAACATTTTAATTTGAGCCCTTTATCTCCATCTTGTCTTTGGCTGTGAATTTTATGAGACTGTAGTTTTGTTCCATATTATCTTCTTAAATATGATGGGTCGGTAAAGTGTTCCAAAGTTTTTTGGTATGGTTTTTATTGATTGTTACATGATATGAAATGTTGGTATTTTTGTGTATATATATGATCTCTCTTTCTCTCTCTCTCTCTCTCTCTCTCTCTCTCTCTCTCTCTCTCTCTCTCTCTCTGTGTGTGTGTGTGTGTGCTCATGAGTGTGCATACAGATGCATATATGCTGTGGCATATGGAACTCAGAGAAGAACTTTGAATGTCAGTCCTCACCTTCCACCTTGAGAAAGGATCTCTTTGTCGTTTGTCACTATGTACACCAGGGAGGCTATCTGGGTTTTGAATATCCCAAGAGCCTGCTGTTTCTCCTCCCTTACCACCATAGTAACACTGGGATCACACACACACACATGATTTACTTGGTTCACAGAATTGGAAATTGATCTTCACACTTGTGTGGGAACTGCTTTACCCACTGTATTAGTAACGGTTTCTATTGCTGTGATAAAACACCATGACCAAAAGCAAGTTGGGTTGGAAAGGGTATATTTCATCTTTTAATTTGTCGTCTAGCATCTGGGGTAGTTTGGGCAAGAACTGGTGTAGGAGCCATAGAGAAATGCTGCATACTGGTTTGGTCAGCCTGGCTTCCTGAATCACCAGGACCACCAGCTCACGGATGGTAATGCATCAAGTGATCAAGGCCCATCCACATGATCATCAGTCAAGAAAATGCCCTACAGAGTTTCCTATAGGCCAGACCTATAGAAGCATATTCTCAAGTAAGATGCCTTCTACCAAAATGACCCTAACTTGTGTCAAGTTGACCAAAACAACCACAAAACTAGCCAGCACACACACTGAAGCATCTCTCTAGCTGAATTTAGGGGTATTTGAAGCATCTCTATACTTAAAATAATCAATCCTTTTTAAAAATCCCTTTTTTTCCAGAGGCTGTGAACATAGATCAGTAATTGTTCTAGTTTGCTGTCTGTGGCTCTGGTAAACACTATAACCAAAAGAAACTTGGGGAGGAGTAGGTTTATTTCAGCATATAGGTTACAATCCATCATGGAAGTAAGTCAGGGAAGAAGCACCTGGGGGCAGGAATTGAATGCTGCTTACTAGCTCACTTCCTTGCTGTCATTTAGTACCTTTCCCATATGGCCCAGGCTCACATACCTGAGGTTGACACCTGATTCTTCCTAAATCAATTTCTGATCAAGATGTCCCATTGACAGGCTTGCAGGCCACTCTTAGTATGTTTGAAAATTTTCCACGGAAAAATCAAATATAAAACATGAAAATACTTTTGCAGCTATGGAAAACATGTGTATAAAATACATAATTCTGCTTAATAAGTATATTGATAATGCATTAGTTTCTGTTTATCCATTTTTCTGTTTCTTTAAAAGGAAAAATAAGCCGGGTATTGGTGGTACACACCTTTAATCCCAGCACTCAGGAGGCAGAGACAAGAGGATCTCTGTTGAGTTCCAGGCCAGCCTGGTCTACAGAGCGAGTGCCAGGACTGGTTCCAAAGCTACACAGAGAAACCCTGTCTCGAAAAACCTAAAGAAAAAAGGGAAAGGAAAAATAAACCTGAGAGACTTCTGTCCATGTGATACCTGATTAATTCATAAAAGATCAGTGGAGTTTTGGCAGATACATAGGCAAAATCAGTTGTAGCACAAGTTCAGAAAGAAGAAATTTCATACAATGTTCAAAATACAACCAAGTGTTTTTGTTGTGGGATAGCCACTAAAAAGGCAACTTGGGTACAGGTTTAAACCAATTCAAAGTCTGTATTAGCCAGTTGGCAACTACACTGGGTGTTTGTGATCCTAGTGTAGCTCCAAGCCTTTCTCAGGGTGAACTTTTAAGCACAAACATATCCTGAGTTGACATACTTCAGTTAACAAGAACAGTTAACCAGAAGCATAATTACAGATTCTAAAAAGCAAGGCTAGTACATTTGCAAAATTTCCCAGAACTATAGACTTTGATGGATTAGGCCTTTGTTTTCGTTTTGTCAGGTGGTGCTGTCTACCTGCTGAATTTCACAGCCTGAATGGTATTTCCAACATGGAGTCAGTTGTACTAAGGTCTGGGGGCCTACTAAGGTCTGGGGCAGTTAGAGTTTTGGTATGTTGCAGCATAAAGCAAGAGACAGGAAATAGTCTAGTGACTAAAGAAATGTCAAAAGACTAAGTCAATGAAGCACATATGATATGATATGAAGAATCTTGGACTTTAGACATCAAGACAAAGAGTTTAAAGATAAACAGAATGGTATGCTTTTGTTTTGATTTTAAGACTCTACTGTGGTGTCTATGTGGAGAAAAGATGTGATGAAAACCATTCTAGAGACAAAGTATCCAGGAAGTGATGATGAAAGGCAGGAATATATAGTAGTAGTCACAAAAATAAAGAACAAGAAAATGAGACATAATTTTGAAAATATAACCAATTTAATCTAGACAGTGTTGCAATTGAAAGCAGAAATGATGAGTCACTGTTAAAGCCTCAGGTGCCCACATTTTGTATCAATTGAAAAGACTGAGAACTCCATCAGAAGTAAGCAACTGTGTTAATTTGCAAGGTTTGAAATAATGAAATGCCATACACTCTGTGGTTAGAACAGAAGACATTTGTTTCCACACAGTTTGAAGCCTAAAAGCTGTGGGGTAGGTTAGGTTTCTTCTGAAGCTTCTCTCCTTGGCTTATGGATGGTTGTTGTGCTGTCTTTATGCTATTTCTACTGTGTGTCCAAGACTCCTCTTCATGTGAGGACACCCACCTGACTTAGGTCCCAAACTGATAGGTTTGTAGTCAATCAACCCTTTAAAGATGGAACATTAACCGACAAAATTTAAACATATGAACTGGAGATGATACATAAACGTGGGTGTACAAGTAGCTCTTGTATGCTGGGTTAGAGTCCTTCAGATATATGCCTATAATTCTTATAAATGGATCATAAAATAATTCTATTTTCAGAACATTCTCAGTGAGTTCGACACCAGCTGTACTATAGTCCTACCAGAGAAGGATTCCTACCTCCCATTTTCATAAATCTTTGTGGTTTATTTTCTTTTTCTAATATTTTTATTTAAATTAGAAACAATCTTATTTTACATATCAGTCCCAGTTCCTCTCCCTCCCATCCTCCCATGCCCCTCACCAATTCCCCCGTCTCAGCCCCCATCCAACCCCCATCCACTCCCCATGGAGGATGAGGCCTTCCATGGGGGATCTTCAAAAATCTGTCATACTATTTGGAGCGGGGCCTAGGCCCTCCCCTGTGTATCTGGGCGAGAG